TATATATATATATGTATGTAGTTCAGTATGTAGAAAAACACTCAGCATTCTTGTCGGCCCTGATAATTTCCCTTATTAAAACTGAGGTAAAGTGTATTCACATTAAATATTCATAACTTCATTTTTTTTTCTAAAGCTGAAAACACTGTCACAGTAAACAACAACAACAACATCTGTCTGTGTCTGAGACATTTAAGGATGGACAAACATGAGGATACATGAGTCTCTTCAGTCAGAAGTATTCAGGGTACAGGTGTTTGTGTAATATCCAATGAGACCACAAGATGGCAGCATTGAGCTACTTTACAATCACATCACTGGCTTCAGAGAGGTGAAGCTTGGAAACATTTTGACAGATAATTTATCCACTTTTTTATTTCATACACTGAGGTTGGTTTGAATGTGTACAACAACCTTAATCTTTAAATCAAAACAACTTAAAATTCTGATGACGTTATTTTGTGTTTCAGTGTGTAGATCACTGCAGGTGGACTGATGTAGAAACGCTCTGTGGGAACAAATGAACAGTCTTCAGGTTTGTCGACATCCTGTTGATCTTTGTCTTCTTATTAATCAACATGATGCAGTTCTCCACTTTCCAGCCTTAATGCTGACTTTTCTTGCATGTTAAGACTCGTGTCGACATCTGGCAAGAAGAGGAACGTGACACAGATCAACTGAAGGAACAAGTGGAGCTATGAGGTAAGATAGTTTTTTTGTTTTACTTTCTTACCCCCCCTCCCACTGGCGACCTTCAATGTGAACCCATCAACATTACATACAGTGAGTTGAGTGGTACATAGAATCATCCACAGGTAATTAAATAAGGATACAAACTCTTACATGATTATCAGAGAAAAAACTTGCAGTATAGTATGTCTGGAAAAGTGCTGAAAAAGTCAAAGTATAGTAGGTGAGGTAAAGTATGGTATGTAAAAAAATATACTAAAAAGTCATAGTATAGTATGTAAAAAAGTCATAGTATAGTATGTAAAAAAAAAATGCAAAAAAAAGTCAGTATAGTGTATGTTGGAAAAAAAAGTGTTAGTGCTAAATACATCATGGTATAGCATGTTGAATAAAGAAAAAGCTAAAGAAGTCATAGTATAGTATGTAAAAAAAAAGTCATAGTATAATATGTGAAAAAAGTCACAGTATAGAATGTAAAAAAAAACTGCTAAAAAAAGTCGCAGTATAGTATGTAAAAGAAACTCTGCTAAAAAAGTCATAGTATAGCATGTGGTCCAAAATCATGAAAAAAAGTCATAGTATAGTATGTAAAAAAGTCATAGTATGTAAAAACAATCTACTAAAAAGTCATAGTATGTGGTCCAAAATCATGAAAAAAAAGTCATAGTATAGTATGTCCAAAAACTGTTGTTTGATTTAATTTAATTACACTAAAGTTGTTGAGTTAAACTAACCATACGAGTCCTTTTCGTTTTTATACAATTTATTGCTGCATTTTGAAAGCAAGAAGAGTTTTCAGCTTGGCACCGTGAACCTGTAAAAGTAGCGCTGTGACATAAGCCTCAGTTTCTGTTGTTGGCCAATTGTTCCAAGCTGATGAATTCACTGGTCAAGGCAGGCCAAACGTTAGATGGATGCTTTGTGTCTAACAAAATACTTTCTGTAGACGTGCTGCAAGAACGGATTCATGCAGCCAGAGCGCATTACCCTGTCAATAGGCTTTATGTGTGGGGAATACCACGATGTGTTGTCCAAATAAGGGCTGAAATCAGGACGATCACATTAACCAGCGCGCAATCATCAGACTTGACGATTATCACGAGAAAACAATCTTTGTTATCTCGAGATAACGAATTAATTCTCGTCTTCCGTACTCCGTGAATGAGTGTTGTATTTTATTTTTGATCCACCTTTATTTTTTCATGATTTTGGACGACATGCTATACTATGACTTTTTTTCATGATTTTGGACCACATATTATACTATGACTTTTTTTCATGATTTTGGACCACATACTATACTATGACTTTTTTACATACTATACTGTGACTTTTTTCGCAGTTATTTTTACCTATTATACTATGACTTCTTCAGCAGACTTTTTTTTACATACTATACTATGAATTTTTTAGCAGTTTTTTTTACATTCTATCCTGTGACTTTTTTAGCAGACTTTTTTTTACATACCATATTATGACTTTTTTTTTTACATACTATACTATGACTTTTTTTACATACTATACTATGACTTTTTTTAGTAGATTTTTTTTTTACATACTATACTATGACTTTTTTAGTAGATTTTTTTTTTACATACTATACTATGACTTTTTTAGTAGACTTTTTTTTACATACTATACTGACTTTTTTTTATATACTATACTATGACTTTTTTAGTAGATTTGTTTTACATACTATACTATGACTTTTTTACATACTATACTATGACTTTTTTAGTAGATTTGTTTTACATACTATACTATGACTTTTTTACATACTATACTATGACTTTTTTCGCAGTTATTTTTACCTATTATACTATGACTTCTTCAGCAGACTTTTTTTTACATACTATACTATGAATTTTTTAGCAGTTTTTTTTACATTCTATCCTGTGACTTTTTTAGCAGACTTTTTTTTACATACCATATTATGACTTTTTTTTTTACATACTATACTATGACTTTTTTTACATACTATACTATGACTTTTTTTAGTAGATTTTTTTTTTACATACTATACTATGACTTTTTTAGTAGATTTTTTTTTACATACTATACTATGACTTTTTTAGTAGATTTTTTTTTACATACTATACTATGACTTTTTTAGTAGATTTTTTTTTACATACTATACTATGACTTTTTTAGTAGATTTTTTTTTACATACTATACTATGACTTTTTTAGTAGATTTTTTTTTACATACTATACTATGACTTTTTTAGTAGATTTTTTTTTACATACTATACTATGACTTTTTTAGTAGATTTTTTTTTACATACTATACTATGACTTTTTTAGTAGATTTTTTTTTACATACTATACTATGACTTTTTTAGTAGATTTTTTTTTACATACTATACTATGACTTTTTTAGTAGATTTTTTTTTACATACTATACTATGACTTTTTTAGTAGATTTTTTTTTACATACTATACTATGACTTTTTTAGTAGATTTTTTTTTACATACTATACTATGACTTTTTTAGTAGATTTTTTTTTACATACTATACTATGACTTTTTTAGTAGACTTTTTTTTACATACTATACTATGACTTTTTTTTTATATACTATACTATGACTTTTTTAGTAGATTTGTTTTACATACTATACTATGACTTTTTTACATACTATACTATGACTTTTTTAGTAGATTTGTTTTACATACTATACTATGACTTTTTTACATACTATACTATGACTTTTTTTAGTAGATTTGTTTTTTTACATACTATACTATGACTTTTTTAGTAGACTTTTTTTACATACTATACTATGACTTTTTTAGTAGATTTTTTTTTACATACTATACTATGACTTTTTTAGTAGATTTTTTTACATACTATACTATGACTTTTTTTAGTAGACTTTTTTTACATACTATACTATGAGTTTTTTTTTACATACTATACTATGACTTTTTTCACATATTATACTATGACCTTTTTTTACATACTATACTGACTTCTTTAGCAGACTTTTTTTTACATACTATACTATGACTTTCTTAGTAGATTTTTTTTTACATACTTTACTATGACCTTTTTTTGCAGTTTTTTCAAGATACTGTACTACGACTGTTTTAGCACCTTTTTTGATATACCCTACTTTGATTTTTTAGCAGTTTTTTTGTCATACTATATTCTGTTTTTTTTCGACATAGTATACTTTGATTTTTTGACATACTTTACGATGACCTTTTTTTTTTATCAGTTTTTGACATTTCATACTATGACTTTTTTAGCACCTTCTTCAACATACTATACTATGACTTTTCTCGACATACTCTATTTTGACTTTCATAGCATTTTTTTTTACATACTATAGTCTGACTTTTTTGAAAATACTATACTATGACTGAAGAAGGTTTTTGACATAATATACTATGACTTTTTTAGCAATTTCTTTGACTACACTATGATTTTTTTTGACATAGTATACTAAAACATTTCAGCAGTATTTTTGACATGTTATGCTATTAATTTTTTTTTTTACATGCATTACGATGAATTTTTCAGCACCTTTTTCAACATAATATACTATGACTTTCGATAAAAGTCATAGTGTAGTATGTTGAAAAAACTGCAAAAAAGTCATAACATAGCATGCCTAAAAATGTCACAGAACCTATAATGTTTTCTGCCTAACAGATTTTGGGACTTTGGGTGATCTGGCCTCTTAAAATGACATGAATTCCTTCAACATTCAACACAACACAGCTGGTAACAAGAGAAAAAATATCTTACCTCAGAGTACAACATGTTCCTTCAGTTGATCTGTGTAACGTTCCTCTTCTTCCCAGATGTCGTCCACTGAGGCTGCACATCTACAGGAGCCTTAACATGCAACAAAAGTCAGCATTCATGCTGGAAAGTGGAGAACTGCATCATGTTGATAAACAGGATGTGGACGAACCTGAAGACTGTGCACTTGTTCCCACAGAGCGTTTCTACATCAGTCCACCTGCAGTGATCTGCACATTGAAACACAAAATAAAGCAAAGTTTTGTATGCCATAAAAATGTCATAGTTTAGTGTGCCAGTCCGTCTCCAGTGCTGTTTATACCCTGATGACGACTCTTGAAGTGAAACGTATCCTCCGAGAGCACCAGGGGCTTCCTCGTACGTGGAGTTGCTCCTAGTGACAGATTTCTCAGAAAATTCTCAGAATTGTGATGTTTTCTTAAAGTTTAGATGAAGTCCTTGTAAAGATAAAAGTTACTCACAGAGCATCTTTGACCTTAAAAGAGCGCCTAAGGTGAAAAACTGTTCAGAGGAGACAAAGGGCGTGTCTGTGACAACCAATCACATCTGTTAAAAGAACGGGCACAACCACACCTCCTCACTACGGTAAAAGTTTCTGTTTCTTCCTTGCTCAGAGTTGCTCTGAGAACTTCCCTACATCACTCTGAAGCTAGCACTCTGTTTTTTTTATTTCTTTGTCATAGCGTAGTATGCTGACTAAACTTCGTAGTATACAAAAAAAATAGCGTAGAATGCCATAAAAGAAATTTCATCAAAATGTCATGCTAGACTGTGCCATAAAGACACAGCGTCTGTGTGTCTGTGTGAAACCAGCGAGCCCTCAGTCATCATTAAGACAGTAAATCTGCATATTCCTCTTCTTTTAACAGTACCGTCACTTTACGCTTAAGTAGCCCAAGGAAAGACAATACCAGCCTCTCTTCAATTATTTATTCTCACATCAGCCCAAAAAGATGACAAATGCTAATTCTGGTCCGTTCCCCAGCTGGGCATCCAAGTGCTCATTAGTTTTAAAGAAGGTTAATCATTTAGGTTTTGCATATTGATATGCCAATTATGTCTCAACGCGGAGCAGGCATCCGTCAAGGTAATAGTGCATAAACACATGCGGGAACATTAGGGAGAAGTCAACGTCATAATAAAGTAGGTGTTAATTGGTGAGCCGAGGACTGTCGGCTAACTCGTGTGTGTAATGTACAGCGGGGTGAGGAGGGGAGGATCATGAGGAGGGGAGGATCATGAGGAGGGGAGGATCATGAGGAGGGGAGGATCATGAGGAGGGGAGGATCATGTCATCCGTAAACCCCATGCTGCGAGCTCTCTGGGTGTCGCGCCCAAACGCTCGGCTGAAGAGGAGGGTCACGGGGGCAAGGGATTGTGGGAGTTATTATGGTGCAGTGTAGAAAAAATGTTTTCATTACCAGATAATACACAATCTGTAAAGAAGTGGAGAGACAATAAAGTCCTAATGTCCTCAAATGAGAAGACAATAAAGTCCCAATGTCCTCAAACGAGACGATAATAAAGACCCAGTGTCCTCAAACGAGACGATAGTAAAGTCTCAATGTCCTCAAATGAGACAATAATTAAATACCAATGTCCTCAAACGAGACAATAATTAAATACCAATGTCCTTAAAGACACACCACCAACGAAGGACCAGTGGCTAAAAATTGTGGAAGAAATGTTGACACACACACTGAGACTACAAGAAGCACAATTAGAAAGACAGTGGGAGAAATGGACTCTATTGAAGTCTCACAGAGACAACACTGGACTGGAAATATAATCAATAGATACATTAATCCTTAAGGCTGTAAAATGTGTATCTGTCCACGCAGTTTTTATTTCATTAGCTCTTATTTTGCAGTTATTTTATTATTCTATCAGGCTGCTGTAACCAACATATCAATGTCACAAAAATTAAACCTTAAGTGTCCTTAAGAGCAAACTTAAGGTGCTTTGTGCAACCGACCCAAGGACCTCAAAACTGCAGTTAAAGGGTAACTTTGGTATTTATCAACTTGGACTCTATGTTTTTGTGTCTAAGTGAATACTGGAGACCTTTTTTTTTTTTTTTTAAATTGGTCCACTATTGAGTGTGAGCACAGCAGCCAGTAGCAGCCAAACAGGCTGCAATGTGACCGCATCGTCAATGTGCATTCATTTAGAGTTTGTTTTTGTCACTGACAGGCTCAGGTCGTTATCACAAGTGTCTGACAGCATTGTGAAAAGGATCCCTACAGAGATAGACCTTTTTGTTTCACCACAAACAGCCCTGAAAACACCATCACCAAACCCACCAGACTCCATTTAAATAAACAGTCATTTTATTATCATAAAACACACGTCATTCACAGTTGAAAGAAAAGAAATAAAACTCACAGGCACCGTCTTGGTTCGTCTTTTCACTCTTCCAACAATCACCAACTCTGGTTTGGTTGAAATTAACCCTTAACTCACCCAGTTCGATGTGACAACATGCTGCCTCTATATATGCTAAAATTACTCTTTATTTGAATGGAGTCTGGTGGGTTTGGCGATGGTGATTTCAGGGCTGTTTCTGGTTGAACGAAAAGGTCTATCTCTGTTGGGATCATTTCCATAATGTTGTCAGACTTTCATAACAACAACAGTTTTAGTGAACGTGCATTGACGGTTCATAATTGCCCGTTAATGTTACCTTTGAACTGCACTCATCCACTTAAACACCAAAATATCATACATCGTTTTGTCTTGTAAATAAATAATAAATTAAAAAAAACAAAACACTTTGAAGACTCTTTCTCATTTTATTTAGAGTTGGTGGAGTAAAAATAATTCCCACTGATGCATATTAACGGACAAATATAAACCACTGACTGTCATTCCACAAAACTGTTGACGATCATCAAGTTTACATGTTTTAATTAGGCAGTAGGTCAAAGAGCCGAGGTTAAAACTGTGCTTCAAGTACAGATTCCATTAACAATACGATCCATTGTTTCGGTTGCACAAACCATCCAAGTCAGTGGATCTGATGTGAAACCACAGACCTGTCTTCATTCATTGGCTGCTGGCAGTCAACGCTGCTCCCAGGGTTTCTACGAAGCGATGGACGTCGCTGAAGGAGTTGTAGAGCGGCACTGGAGCGATGCGCAGCACACTGGGCTCCCTCATGTCACACTGAACCACACCAAAGGACAAAGTTAATGTTGATATGTTCACCACTCCTCTGAAGATTCTGCTACAGCTGTTCAATACTCACAGCGACCCCCCTCTTCTCCAGCTCCTGGAAGACCTTTCGGATGGGGATGGAGAAGGAGAGTGAGAGCTGACAGCCTCTCTGCTGAGGGTCGGAGGGCGTGAGGATGCGCACGTGGGGTTTGTGAGGCTGCGTGGGGTCCTCGCTGTAATAATGGCGGATCAGATACTCCAGGTAGCCCGTCAGCAGGAGGGACTTCCTGCGCAATTCCTGCATACTGGTCATGTTAAACACCTGGCGAAATGAAAATGATGTCACTGATTAACCCGACGAAGGCAATGAGCACCAAAAGAAGAAATGATCCCAAAAATTTGCAAGAAATTACTGAAAACAGAAAACTAAAAAAGAAAATTAATAACAACCAAACACAAAAAAAAAAAATACAGTTAAAAACAAACAAACAAGGAAATGACCAGGAAAGATTACTTAAAAATTATAATAACTCTGTAACATGATTTTAAAATGTAACAGTGGTGATAATAATAATATAAATAATGAATATTGCTTTATCCTATTTTAAAAAAAAAAAAAAAAATTCTAAATCTATTCATTTATTGCAATTTGTAGGACATTTCTTACCAAGTTGATCATTGCCTTTTTTTCCCATGTTTCTGAGAAAAATCCCATCAATTTGCTCAACGTTAAACACTTAAATACTTGTGAAAGGTGTCTGAAAGCAGCACGAGAAAAGTGAGGTCGCTCCAGGTTTCAAAGGATTAAGAAAGGCTTTGTTTATCATCTGATGTTCAAATCTTTACAAAACATACAGTATATATCAAAACCTGGGCTTAAAAATAACAATTATACTTTTCCTTTTAGACAAAGTATGGTATTGTTAATTTTATCTCTTATTCTCTTGTTATTTTTTTTAAAGTAGATCTTTATCTCTTTAAGGTTTATTTTTAATCTATGAATTTTAATTTCTTTTAACTATTTTTATTACCATCTCTTGATTTTATTTTATTTGATTATTAGTTTTACCTAATATTTTTTGTTTCTGTTTTTGTATTATTATTATTATACTTTTTATTCACTTTTATTATGTTATTTATATTATTTTGCAAATTTTTAATTAACTAGTTACTATTTATATTTTATTACCATCTCTATTTTATTTATTAATATTTATATTGTGTTATGAATGTATTTTTAGTTCTTATTTTTTATTTTATTTTTATGCATATATTTTATATTATCTTTCAGTATTCTTGTATTATGAATTTATTTTTGATTCAGTCTCATCTGTTATTTTATTTCTCTAATTTTCATTTTTAACTGATTCATTTTTACTTGATTTTAATTAACATCTATTTTATTTTTTATATTTATTTATTCATACTTTTATTTTTGATTATTGTTTTATTTTCAATTAAGTCTTTATTTTGTTTTGTTTTTTATGTTTTTTGA